GGGGGCCGCGGTGAGGGGGCCGCGAGGTGGTGCCTCCCCCGCGGGGCCTCCTCCGCGCTGCCGCAGCCCTGCACGGCCCGTTGCCAGGGCCTGTCGCATCACTTGTGTCACTAGGCGTTTAATCCCCTGCTTTGCCCGCTCTTCTTAGCCTGTTCTCCCGTTCTTCACCCTTCCTTGCCTTCACTGATCTCAGGAATGATGCTAATGAAAATGTAAGCTTTCGGAAAGAGGCGGCAAAAACACTCGTACCGAAAGCTTTCTGATGGGAGCGCTCGGTCTTATAGATGAATTGACGGAGATGTTCATGACCTGAGCTGTGTAGTCCAGTTGCATGGTGGTCCATTAAGACCAAATCTGAAGGATGGAGAAATGGAGTAATTGCCTGGAGGTGGGTGGGCATTTGCTGCCATTGGTGATGCAGATGAGTTCAGCAGACAGTGAAGTGATACTATCTGTAAAAATCGATGCAGTACATGGGAGATATGTGCAGAGACTTAAGAAGTATGTGCGATTTAAATTACACAAGGACAGTATGTATGATATGAACAATACAGATGAAGGAGCAGGACCATCAGGACTGTCAAATGGAGGAGTTGCTGGCTTTTTGGAAGGGATATCCTCTCCTCCAGCTGGCAATCCGTATAATAAAAATTTAAATTGTCCAGTGCTCCAGCAGTCAGTAAATAGTATTCTGAGTGGTCTCGCAATAAATTCAATTTTTAGCATAACTGGTAAGTTTGATGGCTAGCCAAATATTCTAGTTTCAAAGTTTGATATTGAAAAAAATTGAAATTAAAGCATAATTCCAACTTCTGGAATGTATATAAATATAATTTACCTACTCATATGTTTTTCAGTAATACTAACTAGGGGAGTCAACAGTGTAACTGTGTTACAAAAGCCACTTCTAGGTACTGTGTAGATGCAGTTGCTAAGTGTCCTTGTAAAGATACCTACCCCATGATATAGGTAAGCAAAAGTTAATCATATAAAAAGCTAGAAACTATTAGCAAAGCAACGACTGTGTTGTCTAAATGAAAACCAATTTCTTTGTTTCAGATTTTCTTCCCTTTGTATGTGATGGCTGTTCAGGTGTCTTTTGGTAAGTTCATAGAATTGTAGACTGTCTCAAGTTGGAAGGAACCCATAAGGACCATCAAGTCCAACTCCCTGCTCCTTGCAGGACTACCTAATACTAAACCATATGACTAAGAGCATCATCCAGACACTCCTTGAACTCTTGACGGTGCTGTGACTGCTTCCCTGGGGAGCCTGTTCCGGTGTCTCAGTGAAGAACCTTTTCCTAATGTCCAGTCTGAACTTCCTGTGATGCAGCATCCTTCCATTTCCTGGTGTCCTATTGCTGGTCACCTGAGAGAGGAGATCAGCAGCTCTCCCTCTGCTGCCCTGCCTTGAGGAAGTTGTAGACTGTGATGAGATCACCCCTCAGCCTTCTCTTTTCCAGGCTAAACAAACCAAGTGACCTCAGCCACTCTTCACAAGCCTTCCCCTCCAGACCTTTCACCATCTTGGTCGCCCTCCTCTGGACACACTCTTAATAGTCTGATATCCTTCTTATATTGAGGTGCCCAAAACTGCACACAGTACTTGAGGTGGGGCCACACCAGTGCTGTGTAGGGTGGGACAGTCACCTCCCTCGACCAGCTAGCTGTGCTGTGTTTGATGCACCCCAGGACAGGGTTGGTCCTTTTGGCTGCCAGGGCACACTGTTGACTCGTTCAGCTTGCTATCAACCCAAACCCCCAGCTCTCCGCGGGGCTGCTCTCCAGCCTCTCGTCCCCCAATTTGTATGCATAACCAGGATTACCCAGTCCCAGGTGGAAAATCCAGCACTTGTTCTTGTTAAATTTCATACAGTTGGTGACTGCCCAGCTCTCTAGTCTATCCAGATCTCACTGTAAGGCTTCTCTGCCCTGGAGGGAGGCCACAGCTCCTCCTAGTTCAGTATCATCGGCAAACTTAATGTGCATTTCATTCCTGTGTCCAGATCATTTACAAAAACATTTAACGAGCACTGGCCCTTAAATTGAGCCCAGGGGAACCCTGCTGGTGACTGGCCGCCAGCCTGATATAACCCCATATACTATAACCCTCTGAGCCCGACCAGTCAGCTAATTGCTCACTCAACGTATTATGGGCTTGTCTAGCTGTGTGTTGGAAGTTTTATCCAGAAGGATACTGTGAGGGACAGTATCAAAAGCTTTGCTAAAATCCAAAACCACCACATCAACTCGTTTACCTAGGTCAACTAGGTGGGTGACCTTGTCGTGAAGGGAAATGTAAGTTGGTTTTCCTGTAAGATCTCAGTGTGGCAGTTGTGCTGACCTTAATGTTGTATAAAACATTCTGTGACTCAATTCAGATACATTTAGTTAAAAATAATTGTTTCATTGAACTTGCCACTTTTTTCCCAAGCAGCTGTTGTGGAGCTTTGAAATCAGTGGGATTATCTTTGGAATACAGGTAGATTACTTTGGAAGGCATCTAGTTTAGGCCCTGTTTTGTACTGATTTTTTTGGTGGGGAGCATGGGGGCAGGTATTTTTTCTTTAAGAAAAAGAATTGAAGTTTCTTCCAAAGTTCAAATTAGGGCCTGCACTTTGATTTACACTTCAGATTAGCAGAGGGCAGCTGAGTTGAACTCAGATAGACTGAGGGCAAATTGCACTTTTAACATGTTAGAAGCCTTCAAGGGATTTCTGCTGTTGTGGAAGGTGATTAAAAATCCATTAAAACAGACAAACTCCATTTGCTTTGAGCTGAATTCTTAAGCATGCTAATGTCCTTATTCTCTTGAAATGGTTTGTTATCTTGGGGTGTAGGTTCCAAGAGCTAAATGTTTTACATACTCGGGAAGAATATGATCAATCTATTCAAGGTATGAAATGCATAGGTTAGAACAAATTTTGGAGAAGATTAATTATTTAATTGAAGTGTTCCCATGATAAAACTTGTCAGATCACTGTTTAAACATTTAAATGTTTTCACATGGAGTTTTCTTTTCCTGAGATGTTGATAATAGTGTGATATTTTCTTTTTTTGCCACAAAGCCTTCAGCACAGGAGCCGGGATGCTCATGGGTGTTCTGAGGTAATCTAATAATATATGACTACCTTAAAATTAAAATTCCATGCAACTTAACTGTCTGTTTTCAGATTAGATATGTATATGTAGCGTGTAAGTATGAATTATTTAACTGAGAATGTGACAAGCTTAAAAAAATGAATCTACTCATTTTCTGCCTGTCAGAAGTAAATTGAGTTTGAGTAGGATGATGGTTCTTTTTTTAACTGTGAACTAAACTTAACCAGGACAAAAGTAGGAGAGAATCGCTGGACTAGTTTTGCCCATAGAATGGAGAGCTAGCACAGTTCTTTTGGAAAGCTGGGGTGGTGACTTGTAGCTGTAATATCTGGTTATTTAATGCAAAATATTTTGTACTAATGCCTAGGTGAATATAAGAAACAATTCTGTGAAACCAGATCAGCACAAATCTTACCCATGTTCATACAAGGACTGCAATGGAAAGGAGCTTTTGCCAGTTTTATGTCCCTACTGTGAAAAACATTTTTGTCTAAGGTGAGTGGAACAGAGTGTTTATACATCAGTGCTTGTCCATTAGTGTATGGAAAAGGTAATAAAAGTTTTACACTGTTGTTTACAGGCACCGGCATCAATCAGACCATGAATGTGAGAAAATGGACACACCAAAACCTCGAATGGCTGCCACCCAGCAGCTAGTTAAACATATTATAGGCAAGTACAGTGGGATATATATTCTACGGTTTTCTTCAGAAGGCTATTTGAGCTTGTGACCTGCTCTAAGGGTTCAGGTTTGACCAAATAAGAAGAAAGGATGGGGGTTCCTTGTTCAAATAGCCCTAAACTCACATGTCAGCATGTAATACTGTTCATCTAGACCGAGACAACAGTAGCATATGTCTATAAAGAGAATCTTTAAAAATTAAATAGGGCTCAGGTTTCCTTCAGAATTATTGTCTTGTTCTCATTCTACAAGTACTATAATGTAATTAATTGTACCTAGCCATTATTACTTGCATATTAATTCATGTGCAAATAATGCAGTTTTATTGTATTGGGTGCACATGCCAGTCTGCTGGGATTATGCCTACACAACCAAGATGGCAAAAAAATGTGAGTCTACAAGGTAATGTTTTGCAGCTTTTAAACAAGATCTAGGACAGCAAAGAGAGTGAACAGCACTGCCTAACTGGCCAGTGGGGTTATGTGTAGAAAGGAGGATCTGAAACTGTTGCCATATGAACACTGTGATGGCCACAGGTGTAGAAACTTAGGAATTTTTACCTATTCAGATTTTGCAACCTGTGCTTACCTTGTGATAATGTTAATCTACTTTTCAATGTAAAGGAGTTCTGTTAGGACTGTAACAATTCCAAATATTCTTCAATAGGAGTACCTGATATCATGGCCTCAGGAGGACATGAAAGGAATGGGAACCTTGGAGATATAATGAGGCCCAATAGGCTAATTCCAAGATATGTTCAGGAGACAGTCTGAATCATCACACTAACAGGAATAATACTGTTCTCAGATTCTAAAAAAAATGAGGAAGCAAAAAGCAAAATACGTAAAGGAGCGAAAAACAATGAGACAGCAGCAAAAGTGGCGTTAATGAAACTGAAAATGCACGCGTGTGGGGACAAGTCCTTGCCTCAGGTCAGTCATGTTTGTTTTCAATAATTGAATTCTCAAAGGAAATGGGAAGTTTTCTAAATTTCATGTTCTTCATGTAGTTTCCTCAGTTTGGTTTTGGATTTAATTCTTCAAGCCCACAATCATTTACACATCTATTTCAGCCTGGTACCCAAAACCCATCTCACTAGTCTTATGTCTGTTATAAGGTGTCTGTGTAGAGTTCAGAGCAATCAGATCAAATTCCTTTATTTTATAGCAGAAATGTATTTGTCTGCCATACGGCTGTCACCCAACGTTGCAGGGACAGACAGGTTCTTCTGGGGATCCTTGGCAGAATGATGACAGCGCTAAGTTGTAGTTACAATGAAAGCTTTATTATAATTTGAACAGAATTTGATGATCAGCATAGCATAGAATTTTATGATCAGAGTAGCACAGGATTTTTGTAATCAGAATCAGTGTAGCACAATCTTGTTAAGTAGCGTGGCACAGAATTTTATAGTATGGCTTAGGATTATGCTTCCTAATCACCTGGACCCTCTGCAGATCGGGTCAAATCTTAATACTTGGCTTGCAGTATCAATATCACAGTCATCATCTAGACTCGAAACATGTAAAAGAATGAGTCACTCAGTCCTTGGAGGAAGCAGATGATGGTGGAGGCGTCCCTGGCCACCGGGGGATCATGGGGTTTGCATTCCAGCAGCAGTTCTGGTCCATGTCCCACTTAGGGCTTGTAGCTGCCTGATTTTATGGGCAGTGCTGTGTGTGCTGCTAGGCTGCCCTGTTATGTGACGGGGTCATCACCACCGGGCTGGCCGGGCGCCTGCGACCTTCAAGGCCAGTAAGGAGGGGAGTGGTCGGCCTGGCACCCAGGGGCCTTGGGGCAGATAGGAACAGGGAGAAGTCAGCACGGTGCGCAGGACCTTCAGGGCCATCAGGAGGAGGGCAGAGGGGACTGATACGTGACCAGCTCGGTCACAGAGAACGGCTGTTTGCCGTATGAAATGGTGTTAGTTATGCTAACATAACATCATATTACCAGGGATCAGGAGCAGGGGGTGCCGGTCACACATGGCAAACCCATCTCAAAGGGATGCTTTTCATGCTGGGTACTGAGGGGCTTCTGACACAGACAGGACACAGCTGGAACAACTCTATACCAGTCAGATTGAACCTGTCTCATACGAAACTGAGCTTTGTGTTCTGCAAAGCTTCATTCTTATTTCTGCTACTCAGACTTAATAGTTATTTTTTACATTTCTGGATGAGGTATGAAGGCCCTGAGGTCAGTTGTTCCTGCCTTTGGGTTGGAAAAGGCTATTGACAGTTGCTCTGTGTTTCTTTCAGCCTTTAATTTCTTTGATTCTTGAAGTATTTCACAGATTCCATATTGTTTTTCACTGCCATGGCGAGTCAAACCTGGTGTTCGTCTTTTCGACATAGCAGGATTATGTTGGGTTTAGAAACACCTTGATTCTTTCATCTAGAGTTTCACTTTAGATCTGTACTTATGCATCCTCTTAAAAGAACTGTATTTAAATTACTTTTCACTACATTGTTGTGCTGGAGCACACCAAGTTTAGGCCTGTTAGATTGATTTTATAATGCTGAAAACATTCTATGTGATAGTCTTATTGTTAGGTCTTATCTTAGTAGCATACATTTAATTATTGTTTTTAAAACAACTACAGCTATTCCATTACTGAGTCCTGTTTTTAATTTCTTTTTTTATACTTAATCATGCTTAGAAATTAGATAACTCTGCTTAGGCAGAAGTCATAATACAAAGACCTGCATGTAGCATTCTTCACAGATAGTACCACTTTAATAAATATGTGCTGGAGGGAAAGTGATTAATTTCAAATATTGTGGAACGTAAGTAAAAAAATCCACCCTCAATATATATAAGAAAATTTTAAAGGTTGCTTCCTAAGTCCAAAGCCAGTAAGCTCTAAAAAGCGTAGCACAAATTACCGTATGCTAATTTCTCTTACTATTCATTTTCTCATTTGGATATTAATTGTTTAATCATCTAGAATAGCAATAATTCTAACACTGCTAAATTAAGCCTGTTAACCTTCAGCACCTCTCTATTTAAATTGCTTCCTAGACTCCTTCTGGCTGCCTTCTGCCCAGCTTGTTCCAGTTTGACAGATTTTTTTAATATGAAGTTTCTGGAATGCCTCTTAGGCACATTAGTTCTCTCATCACTATATAGAGAAGCTCAACACATTTTTCTTGGTGGTGCACAGCAAAAGGACAGGGGACAAGGGGCACAAGCTGCAACATGTGAAATTCCAATTAGATAATAGGAAGAAAAATCACAGTGAGCATGGTCAGACTTTGGAACAAGCTGCTCTGAAAATTTGTGGAATCTACATCTTTGGGATGTTCAAAACTTGATTGAATCTGACTTGGAACAACCTGATCTACCTTTATAGTTAGGTCCAGCTTTAAAGTTCCCCCTGCTTTGAGCGTGGTTTTGGACCACATGACACCAGAGGTCCTTCCTGACCTTTCTTATTCTATGATCAGGAAAATCAGGCTGTCTTAGAAATACCTTTTCTCTGGCCTCTTTGTTCAAATTAGCTTTCTGCAGATGATTGCTTCATTTGGTGTCAGACCTGATAACGAGTAACCCCTCTTGAGACTGACAAGCTCAAAACAGGAGGACCATGCTGCAAAATAGTGTTAGTTATTGCGTCCCTGACTGACTGGTATTTTCTTGGATATGGCACAGAAATTCCAGGAGGCATATCCCATAGTAAGGGATGCAACAGTAGAATGAGCTGTTTTGTGAACTGTGGGAGACTGTCTCATCATCCTTAGAACTGGAGGAGCAACTGTAAGAACGTGCTGCAGTACTGACAGCAGTTGAGTGATGTTAACATGTGTCCATAATAGGATGGCAGTTGTGTTAGCTGTTTTACAGGTTGTGGTCATTTACAGTTTAGCAAGATTCAGGCCCTGGTTCTCTTGCCCCTTTGTAATATTCCTGGATCTTAAAGATTTTCTTGTGTGTGGAGAGCACTCAAGTTTTGAGGAAAATGCACAGATTGAAATTCAGATTTAGTTTTATGAACATAGCTGGGGGGGAGGGTAGTTCCATATTTTTCTAGGGAAGGCAATAAAAAAATCCTTTAAAAAGAAGACTTCTGTCTTGTTTGATAGTGTCTGGCTTGGGCTCAGCAAGGGCCATCTTAACTGATGAATGTACCAGTCATGCTTGCTCTGTGTCTTCTGTTGAATGTCAAGAAGAAATAAACCTGAAGAAGGGATTTTCTCAATCCCGTTCAAAATCTTTTGCTCATAGGTTACTCTTGAAATTTCTTAAACAAATGTTTCAGTCTAGTAGATATTGAAAGAGAGTTTAATACATAAAAGGAGGAGCTGGCCATGACCGGAATGTTGGTTTGCGAAGCAGGCATTTTTAGTGCGGTGAATTGTTCTGTTTTAACCGCCTTTGCGTTCCAATTTGAGACATTCTACTGCTGCCAAAGGCCAGTGCTGCTTACTTAAGCTCACCTTTTTCTCCCCCGAGCAGTCATTATTGTCTAGTAAACCCAGGGCAGACACCTTTTCATGTCTGTCTGTATATAACAGTCTAACTGTAGGGGTCTGGCGAAAGACGTTTTCTCCACCTTTCTCAACTTTCTGTCCATCATATATGTGCCTGGAGCTGGAGGGGATTGGACTTGATGATCTCAGTCATTTATATTCTGCAGTAAAATGGGGTCTTGGTCCTGATGGAACAGAACAAGTTTCATTTGGTAGTTTCTGGGTGGAAGTTTAAGTTTTTTTACTGAAAAACTGTTAGAAGTGTATGACTGGAATTACGTGCTGCTTCTGTGAGTAATTTTTTGTTTATTTTTCATGTTTTTCTAGACAGAAAGAATTTACTTTCAAGTATTTTTACCAAAGGGGAACAAAGAGAAAAGCAAGCCTATGTTCTTTTGCAGTAAGTGGAGTATTGGCAAAGTAGTAGATTTTGCGGCTTCCTTAGCAAGCCTTAAAAATGACAACAACAAATCAACATCCCAGGTAAATCGGTAATAATAACAAACATTTTCCAGCTTGTTGGGGTTTGAGTTTGGTTTTTTTACCTCCCCCACCGCACTTCTTGCATCTCAGATAGGCAAATCTTGATGTTAATTTCTGTGCTATTTGTCTTACAGAAATTGAGATTATGCCATACTGCCTCTGGCAAAGCCTTGCCATTTGAACACACATTGGAAACATGGCTATCTGATAAAGACTATCCATTGTACAATGGTGGAAATGTAATTTTGGAGTATCTTGATAATGATGTTCTATTTATAGAAGATACAGAGTCGTACTTCAGTTAATCAGTAAATTACCACAAATGAAAAAAATCAAAGATTTATTTAGAAGCATGGTATTCAAACCAAGTCCAGTTTTCTTTTAAAATCACTGGTATGCCAGAATCTCTCCTCAGTTGTAAAGACACGGTTCCCATCGATTTCTCAGTTGCTTGACTGACAGAACAACTATGTCCTGAAAGGAAAATTAGTTATTATAATAAGTAATATTACAGATACTCACTTTCTAGAATAAATTCTTGCTTTGTTTAGCTGTATAGTGTCAATAATGTTTTCTTAAATTTTGTATTTATTTTTGTGTAAATGGTGGGAAAAGTATGTATTAAAATCAATAAATAACAAAAACGTAAACTTGCAGTGTATCAGTTTTCTGAAGGGGAGAAACACATTACACTATAGCAACATCTTTTCTACATCTACAAGAACAGATTTCATTGAGTTGAGAATCCAGCACTGTCCATGCTCCAGGTCCACGTTTTCTTCTGTCCTCATAATAGCATAACGATGTTTAGAAGGAAAGCTTTCTGAAGCAAAAGTGAATTCACACAGTTGTGTCTCTTGTGTATGTAAATCTTAGCATCATTGGGTGATTAGGTGGGGGATAAAAAGAGAACTTGAAATTAACCTTTTCTAATTCTTGTGTAAAAGAGGAAGAAATACGGTAAGAAAGGAAGAAATACAACACAACTAGAAGCGTAGCATTCAACAGCTTGGAGTTTCATCCTGGCATTTCTGACCGTAGGTAAATCTCTTCTTATTGCTTCCCCTTCAGCAGTCTGCAAGATGAAGTTACTAAGTTTTAAAGCAGTTGTTTACAGTGATTGTACATAAAGAAGTTACACCTCTGGGTGTAAGCCTAAGTATGACCTATGGAATTAATGGCTTTCTCAATTATCAGTGTCTTGAAATTGTTTGGTGCTCATTAGGCAGATTGTTCAGAATATCAGTAGTTGATGTACTTCCAGTTTTTGGATCTCTTTTGGTGGATTTCACAGCTGGATTGTAAATTCAAAGTGAACATAGCAAGGACGAACCACAAGATTATTTTTATTACACTTACAGCTGTCCTGAATTACTGAAAAATAAAAACATGTGATGTTGCACACAAATATCAGGGCCAGCACTTTCCTAACTGTAAGTTCTGATGTGTAACCAAGGAGCCTTGCTTCATCTTTCTTGAACAGGCCTGTTACAACCTAAACTCATTCTGCAGTGGCCTTGAGCCTGTCTCTGTTTAAGCTGGAGTAGAACCCTTTCAAGACTAATCCCTCCAATTTGCTTTCATCTGTCTACAATTTAGCCAAAGTTCTCCAATTGGAAGGAGCTGTAAAGGGAGTCCTACAGTGACAGAAAGGACAACGTATGAATGGGTGTAAGCAGGGCGGCGGGAAGCACAAGCCTAAGCTGCATTTGCAAAGCTGTAGTGTGTTTCTATCACTCTGTGGTGCTGTGCAATGTGAACGAACTACTGAGGCAAGCCTATTCATCTGATACCAAACAGGCTAGCAACATTTTCAGCTGCAATTGGCTGCAGCATTGTGAGGTGTGATCCATTGCTACTGAAATGACCTAGTGGCTTGTGATTAGGGCGCAATGTTCAGACACGGGGGAGACATCTCTGTCCCCCATAGCCTGACTCACTGCTAGGTCTGTGACTCGCCTTTCAACGAGTTTGAAAAGAGAAGAGCTACCTTTCTTTCTCAGACACGGGGCATTTTCTTTCAGGCAGCTATCTTCGTGTGCTGTTCTCATGTTCGCAAGGATGTTCCAGCTTGTATGCGCACCGTGACTGAACATACTCGGTAATGCCCGGAGGTGTAACTGGGCCACAGGGAGACTGAATGACTACATTGTTCAAAAATGTCAGTGTGATGCATTTCAGGAACATTGTCCTGCCATTGCAGGACATATATAGAAGTGGGGAGAAACTCTATGGGGAGGGTGGAGGACAAGGCTCAGGAATGTTGCTAGTCCTGTCAGAAACGGAGTTTTGGTTCAGAGCTGACATGAGGCAGAGAGGGGTACTCAAACCTGCAAGTGGTCACCTGGGCATTCAAAAATCTGGATTTGGTGTTTCGGCTCATTCAGTTACTGTGTTCCCTAACTGAACGTGCTTGCCTAAAGGGAACCATTGTCCACTGGCTATAATGCTAGATTCTGGTTCATTTGTACCCATTGGAAAACAAAGAGATAGCCATGCATGGCACATCCATTCTAGGCACAGCTGCAATTAAAAAAAAAAAAAATCACAACGTAAGAGTCGTCTGCCTAGCATCTTTTTCAAAGGTACTCTCCATTGGCAGAACAGTAATGTGGTCTTGTTCAAGTGGCTGTAAAGTATCATGTATCATGGGTTTTGGTACTACCAGGTAGTATACCTTTATAACAACTTAGGAATATCTGTAGGATTATCATATACTGATTGGACTTGCATAAAAACCAAAACCATCTCAGTAAGCATGTCACTGTTAATTGTTCTTATTTTGCTTACAGTACTCTTTACTGTAGTTTTAACATGACTTAGGTATTGATAAATTATTTTACTGGATGTGGTGTGGATGCCACAAAAAGGAGGGTGCTTCTGGTTTCCGTGAAGGAAAGGGTCTTCAGTGGCTGAATATTTTGGAAATCTTTGTTTCCTGGCAGCGGGAAGTATACATGGATTTCTCCATTTTCTCCCACCTATGTCTCCAGCTGTTTGTCATCTCCCTTTCCAGCGCAAGAGGAACAGTTCCCTTTTCCCTTGTTCTTTCTTTTCCTTTCTTTCCTCCACAGTTCTTTATTCACCTTTCTTTCCATCTTAGGCTGCTGTGGTAAGGACTATGCAGTAAGAGGCAAACAAACCATCGCTGCTGGACAAGTGAGTCTGGGCAGAGACCCAAACTGAACTCGCTCCCCCTGCTGTCGTTACCGAAGCAAGTGGAATATGCTGCTACAGAACAGAAATCCCCTTATAGAGCCTGTAAAACAGTTGCTGTAATGAGAGGTATACTATTAACAATGTTAATGAAGCCATTTTCCATAATAATGGTGCAGTCCAATATAGCTTATACTGAGGCATGTTTGGCAGCTTGCCTCAACAAAAACTGAATCAGAGCCAAAGTGCCTCTTTCTGGCTGTATGATTTTATTATAACCTTGTAAAGAATGACTTGCAAAATAATTAGTAAAAACACACCTTATCATCTCTGCAGTTCTTTAATGACTGTGAATACTTTAAAAAACAGGCTTTTGTGACTCTTCCCGTTGACAAAATGGGAAGGAGGAAACATGAAAAGGCACAGTGACTTGTCCCACCGCAACAGCACCGCTGGGAATGGAAACCGTATCTCCACTGATGTGGAAAGGACAAAACTACGCCTGTTTGGCCTTGAACAAGTGCCCGGTTGTGGGTTGGACTGGCACTGGGGAAAGGGGGTAAGGCTGCTAATTTTGGTGGTGCAGACGTTTCATGATCATTTTAAGTCATAAAGCAAACTACAACCCCTGACCTGTTTACAGTAGATCATCATTTAATGTACGACAGGAAATCACATTAGCTGCAGTTTGTGAACGCAAGACAACACCTCAGTGTTTTACCTTTACTTGATGAAAGGCAATAGGGCCAAAAGACCACAGAGAAACAGTGACACTGGTATCAGTCAGTCTTGGAAAGCTTTTTTCCCCTCTGTATAACTTTGATTATGGTGATCTTGAAAATGCATCATTTGAACGGCAGATTGTTTTCAAAAATCTCCAAAAGCTAGGGAGCTTTCTGGAAAATGTGTTTGATGTGTGTTTTAAAAATACCGGTTGTCTCTGGCTACTGATTTGGTTTTATTCTAATTAGCAGAACTCTCAGCAGGACGGGCTAGTGAGGGGGCAAAGGAAGCTGTTTTCACGGGTGTTGGCAGTTTTTGAGGAAAAAAATCAAGATACCACGGAGAAGAATCATAGAATTGTTTAGATTGGGAAAGACCTTTAAGATCATCCAGCCCAACCATAAGAGCAACATCTCTAAGAAACTTGCTCGGTTTCCTCTTTTCAAGCACTGTAACCTGACTTGGTGAAACGCTGTTTTACTTCGAGGGGACTGTTACACATATATTCGCTTTCTTTTTCACGGGCCTTCATACTTTTTTTTTCCACATGTCGAGTAAGGCAAGCTCGCTTTCAGCAGTGCCGCCGCCAGCAGCTGAAAGCCCAGGTAAACGCCAATCGCCTCCTCCATTTAGGGTACCTTCATCCTGCCACCTCCACTTATTAAAAAGAAGTACGACATTAAAGGCTAATTTCAACACCTGAACTCTTAATTTTCACGGCGCAGGCGCAGCGCCGGCCAGGGCAAGGCGGGAGGAGGAAGCGGAGTTAATGGCTCCGCCTCTGGCGCCTGCGCACTGGCGCGGCTACGCG